TCTAAGGCTGGGCCGCAGGCAGACCCCAGAGGAGGGTCTTCCTCCCCCACGGCCAGCTCGCCACCCCCTTCCTCCCTCCATACACACTTCTCACCCAGCCCTACGCGCACCAGGCCGCACACCAGGCCAGCTCGGCCGGGATCCCTCTGGGTTCAGGCTTCTCCAAATACCGTGAATGAGGAAGAGGAGGGGGAAGAAATAAACCACAGCTGGTTTGTAGGCAAAATAGAAACAAACAGAATCAGACAGAACACAGGCAGCGGGCGGGCAGATGGGGGCGAGGGGCAGGGAGCAGACATCTGGGAAGAGGGGGACATGTGAGGGTCAGAGAGGACAGGTTCTGACGGAGCAGAGTTCACATCCCGCTCCCGTTGTCACATCTCTATGTTAAAGCCTCTCGAACCCGGGCCGGCTGTCCCTATAAGCCGGTAGCAGGCGGAGTGACACTGGGGAAGGTAACGGGGAGGGGGGGGGGGGGAGGGGAAGGAGCAGCTGCCGAAAGGCGTCCACTGGGCACGGCAGGAAGAAGGCCTCCCCAGTGATTCTGCCCCTGGGGAAACGGGGCACGGAGTGGAGCCCCAAAGCCGAGGCTCGGGGGTGGGGGGCTGGGGAATGGGAGGAGGAGGCGTTGGAGAAAACTGAAAAGGGAAGCTTGCAAACCAACCAGCAGACCGCTTCCCAGCTGGTGTGGCTGGCAGCAGGGCCGCCCAGAGCCGCGGAGGGAGGGCACGAGGCAGTCGGAACACCAGCTCTGTGGCTACCAAAGGCCTGGAGACACAGGACAGCCGCTGAGACCACTGCTCCCAGGGACTCCACCACCAGCAGCACTGCCTGACCTTCCTGCACCCGCCCCCACCCCTCTCACCCAAACCAGGGCGGGTGGAAGCCCGCAGAGGGAGAGGAACTGCAGTTTGCAGCTCCCAGGGCCCAGGCGATTCGGTTGCGCCTTCCGCGGGGACAAGCAACCTCCTAGGTTCCTAGGTGTGTGTGGGGGGGCTCCTATCCAGGTGTGTAAGTGCCGCTGTGATGTGCGCGGACAGGTGACAGGACCCGGCTCCACCACAAAAGGGAGAGAATGACCACTAGTGACCAGCTCAGCATCAGGTGCTGTTTCCTACATTCGGTTAAAAACAGCAAACAGGCCAACAGGACGGCACTGCGCTGAGTCCACGCAGCAGCCAGCCGCCGCGGCTGCGTTTCCCTCGCCCAGGAGGCCGCCCTGCCCGGTCATCGGCAATCACCGCCAGCGCCAGGGAGGCCACCGCCTGCCAGACCTGGCCTCCCTCGGAGGGCGCCCTCCTGGCCAGTCATTGGCTCCCTGGCAACCACCCCTCGCTGTGTCCCCCCTGACGCTAAACCCTCCCGTTGGGCACAGCTCCCAGAGGCCTTCCAGGCGCGCACAGGTGCTGCGGGCGGGTCGGAGTCGCTGGTGAAGCCAGTGAGAGCCTCGTTCCACTCGTTCCGCTCGTTCCACTCGGTGGGATGCTGCTCTTTAGCAGCCGACAGTTCGCCAGTGCGGCTGTCGGCGGGGCGAGTCGTCCGGGAGCGGGGCGTGCTGCTGTGGCTGTTCGGTATGACTGCAATGCGCTACTTCAAATTCACCATTTCACAGATACGTGAAGATGAGGCTCAAGTAACCCTAGTTTTTAAAAGTTAATAACTAACAAATACACTACATTATAATATGATTCAGGCGGTTGTGGGGTCTCACCAAAGTCATAGGGTCACTCAAAAATGACTGCTGTTCTCGAAATAGCTGCCTGAGCTGGTTCTTCTAATGCAGCGGTTCTCAACCTGTGGGTCACCACCCCTTTGGGGGTCGAAGGACCCTGTCACAGGGGTCGTCTAAGACCATCGGAAAACACATACTGAATATATAATTACATATTGTTTTGTGATTCAACACTATGCTTTAATTATGTTTAATTTGTAACAATGAAAATACATCCTGCATATCAGATATTTACATGACGATTCATAACAGTAGCAACATTACAGTTGTGAAGTAGCAACAGAAATAATTTCATGGTTGGGGGTCACCACGACATGAGGAACTGCATTAAAGGGTCGCGGCATTAGGAAGGTTGAGAACCGCTGTTCTAATGGCAGACACATCCCCTCAGGGTGTCTGACTTATGTTTTCCTATATTAAGTGAGGTCCCTCATATTTCCATAGAAATAACAATGTTTTCAGGTACTCCCACATTTTCCTTCGTCAGTAAGTGTTTTCAACGTAAATTATTTCACGGGCAGATTAACATTCAATACTGCTAAGTCCGTACAAATATCTGCCTTCCCTCACACGCGCTCACCTAGCTGGTTATCCCATGATTGTAAGTCGCTGCCCTCTCATTTTGCCAAGTTTCATTACAGAAAACAGATGTCCATGTCATCTCCAGGGTCAAACAAATCCTCTCACTCCTGCCCGCTGGCTTCGGAGGAATGCGGGGGCGCCCTGGGTTCTAGTGTCACAGTGGCCAATTACTTCTCATGGAACTTAGAGGTGTCAGAGAAGTTCCCAGCATCGCATCAGCGTGCATTCGTTCTGTCCTCCCTGATGTGGGAGTAGACAAGTGACAGTGACGAGATCCGCTATCTCCTATCACGGCCACCCCACACGCCGTGATAAATTTCCCACACGATAACCTTCCCACTGCCACCTCCAGCTGCAGGAAACACTAAAAACGTGAAGTACAATCACGTGCCGTATCACGGCGTTTGGACTGCGACGGCTTGCATGTATGACGATGGTCCCAGACGGCTATCACGGAGCTGAAAGACTCCCCTTGCCTAGTAGCATCGTAGCCATCATGACATCACAGCACCACACGCTGCCACTGCCTGCAGTGCTCAGCCCAGGAACACGCTGGCCGGGCTAACGGTCCAGGCGCAACAGGCTGTACCAGACAGCCGGGTACGCCGAGGGCTAGACCGCCCAGGCGTGTGTAAGGGCCTCCGTGGTGTGTGCCCGACGCACTTCTCAGAAGCCGTCCCGGGCGTTAAGCGACGCCCGACTATCTCTGGAACGCAGGAAGGGGACATGGAGACTGGCTCAAACCCGCCCCTCACCTCCGGGACTGTAACCACTGCGACCCTTAACAAAATGAGGGCTCTGTGGGCAAAGACCCGGGGAGCTTGCTGAGCTCCTGCTGGGTGTTCATCTGAAGGCGTCTGCCGACCCCACCTCGGCTCTCAGCCTCTGAGGAGCCGCCACGCTTCCGCTCCCGACGGTCCCTGTAGAGTCACTCATACACATTGTGCGATGTTTACTTCATCGAGTTCTTACCCGAACGGTGGTATGCTGTGCACGCTGCTCTGCACTTCCCTTTCGTCCCCTGACGGGAGAAGTGGAGGACTCGTTCTATTTTGATATGTAAGAAAGCCACTTCCTTCTTTCTAATGGGCAACAAGACTCCATTGTATCAATATGCCACATACCCGGCCCTATAAAAAGGACTCCTGGTCGTTTTCAGTCTCTGGCGATGATAAAACACTGCGCTGAACAGCCTTGCACATGCATGACTGACCCTGAGGAGAGCTGGGAAGGAAGGAAACTGCCTGCGGCACCAGCCAGGAACCACCGCACACCTTGGCTGTCTGGTGCGGCCTGCCGCTCCCGGACCACTGGCCTGTCCAGCATGTTGCCGGGCTGAGCTCTATAAACTTTTGAATTGGCTGCTGGTAATTTGGGGGGGGGATCATGTTACATTTATGGGTTAAAATTTAAAGAGCAGGACGCCCCATGTTAGTCTTCCCACTGACAGCAGAAAAGGCCTTTTGTCACAGGTCACCGTTTCCTAACTCTCGCACACATGTAAACATTTCCAAACTCTGGATGCACTGCACGATCCAGGACACCTTTCAGCCTCTGTGAGCCGGTAATTACTCCTGGTGGCAGGACAGGCAACTGTCATCCCTGGTCACTCCAGTCACCAAAACACTTGAGGACCATTTAAGGAAGAAACAGGAGCCATGCTGTTGTTAGAAAACCTTTGGTGACACCTCCTGGAAAGATCAGGAAAGTGCAAGCATCAAAACTAAAGGTGTCAGTGATTGTAAGAAAATTCTTTCAAGAAATGCTACATTATCAATGCTCTTAATGGCACAAAGAACAATTTTGTATTGGGGGGGAAACACTGATTTTGATGACTCCAAAAAGTGATTTGGAAGAATCTTCCTAAATGAGGAGAATCAGAACAGTAATATCTTAACTGAGATACGGTTCAGATTTTCACTTTTATAGCTGCACGAAAGATATGAACAGGATAAAGTGCCAAGTAAGTCCAAGAGTTCCTTCAGTAAATAAAAAACAACACAACACAAAACGAAGCCCTAAGAGAATGTTGCATCGAAAGTACTGGCCACAGTTTATCACAGATTCTAAGTTGCACTGTATATATGTACACGGTGCAACTTAGAACCAGCATCTCAGGTTTGAAGAAATCATCTTACTTTAGGCCCTCCGTAGTATTTCAAAGTTTCTCTCGTATTGATTTTGTGCGTTCTTAAGGCTATTCCTATGTATTTTATCTCTTCTTCCACGACATTTTTTTCATCAGAATGCTATTTATTTTTGCCTATTTAATTAATAGCCACCTTACTGAATTCTCTTACTATTTATAACAAATTTTCAGGACATTATTTGGGTTTCCCAAGTATGCAATGAAATGAGTTTAAACTGAAATCCTAAACTAATGTGCTGGAATTTAAGCTGCATGAAGGTCAGGACTGTGTGTTACTTTCAGTGTTCTATGTTCAGCACCTAGCATATTACTAAACCACATCAATGCATCTTCATCAAACTAACCCCTCCCCACAGAGACGTTGAGTTTAGTTGAAAAAGCCAAATATAAATGAGGAAATAGTATTCAGGATCTTACAGATCCTGTAAGAAACTGGGTATTTGATAACTAAAGTTCTATATGTTTGGTTATAATTAGTTCTATTTTAATAACTAAAAAACCTAATTATGAAATAAGTGTTTTACTTTAAACACTCACCTATTGGGTCTTAGATCTGATGACTCAAACTGGATATTCATGGGCCCGGGATGTACCTCACGGTCCACCTCGGGGGCGAGAAGCTGCCTGGAATCACTGTCCAGATCTGCCATTTCCTCCACCTCTGAGCACTGCAGCAGTCAGTCCTAGATGAGTCAGAAAAGATGGATCATTTCAAGTTTAATTAAAATTCATTTCACTATTAAGAAATAATACATTTGCATGCATTAGACACTGGAAAAATACAGGAATCTGCTGCAGATATCTTAATGCAGTATATGCCTAAAAGACATTTATTTTTATCAGAAACTTGAAGTTCCTGCTTATTTTTCAGCTTGCTAAAAAGTGGACCAATCCCTTTCCAGTAATAAAACAGATTCGGCTCGCCGAAACCGGTTTGGCTCAGTGGATAGAGCGTCGGCCTGCGGACTGAAAGGTCCCAGGTTCGATTCCGTTCAAGGGCATGTACCAGGGTTGCGGGCACATCCCCAGTAGGAGATGTGCAGGAGGCAGCTGATCGATGTTTCTCTCTCATCGATGTTTCTAACTCTCTATCTCTCTCCCTTCCTCTCTGTAAAAAATCAATAAAAATATATTTAAAAAAAAAAAAAAAACAACAAAAAAAAAACAGATTCAGCTATTTGGACCCATTTTCCTGCAGAAAACAACTAAGAATCAGGCCCACTGTTGGTAACATTAAGGAATGTTAGAGAGGCAAGTGGCTTAAGGGAGTTGCTTCTGCCCTAAGGGTGTTTGCTGCACCAGGGGTACTGGGCTGACGTTTTCAAGGCCAACCGGGCTGGGTGGCTCAGCTGGATGAGTGTTGTCCCAGGCACCAAAAGGTTGTGGGTTTGATTCCTGGTCAGGGCACAGACCTAAGGGAAGCAACAGACCCTTGTTTCTCTCTCTTTCTCTCTCCCTAAAATCAATAAACATATTCTTGAGTGAGGATACATTAAAAAAAGAAAGGACCCATACAATAACCAAACTTGAAAACTCAATGAATAGATTTAAAAGTTGATGAGAAAATGAATAAACTCAACAATTAAATCAGAAGAAACTACCCAGAAGTGACGGGGGGGGGGGGGGGGAACGTTGAACGGATTGAGAGACATGGGAGACCTTCTCCTCACTCCGAGAAGGTCTAACGTGCACGTAACTGGGAATCAGAGAGGCGACAGCAGAGGCAATACTGGAAGAGAGAATGGCTGAGAAATTTCTAGATCTCATAAAAGGTAATCTGCAAACTCAAGAAGCTTAATGAATCCAAGCAGAATTAACAAACAATATATTATAGCGTTGAGACCTACGGCTCAGAAAGAGATTCCTTTTAAAATATTCCTGCTCACTGACAATGCACCTGGTCACCCAAGAGCTCAGGTGGAGATGGGCAGTAAGATGAATGTTGTTTTCATGCCTGCCAACACTACATACATTCCGCAGCCCACGGATCAAGGAGCAACCTTGACTTTCAAGTCTTATTATTTAAGAAATACCTTTCGCAAGGCTATAGCTGCCCTAGAGAGTGACTGCTCTGATGGATCCGGGCAAAGTAAATGAAAAACCTCCTGGAAAGGGTTCACCATCTAGATGCCATTGAGAACACCCACGGGAAGAGGTCAAAATGCCAACACTAAGGGGCGTTTGGAAGAAGTTAATGTAACCCCCATGCAGGGCTGAGGGGTTCAAGACCGCGGTGGAGGAAGTGACTGCACACGTGGTGGAGACCGGAAGAGAGCGAGAATTGAAGTGGAGCCTGATCATGGGACTGAGGTGCTGCGATCTCACGGCAGATCTTAACGGAGGAGTGTGCTTCTTAGGGACCAGCAGGGAAAGTGGTTTCTCGAGATGAATCAGCATCTCAGATTTGAAGAAATCTCCTGCTGAGGGTGCTGTGAAGACTGTAGAAATGACAACAAAGGATTTGGAATGTTCCATAGACCGAGCTGGCAAAGCAGCGGCAGGGTGTGGGAGCACGGCCTTCAATTTTCAAAGTTCTATGGTGGGTGAAATGCTAAAAAACGCATCCCAGGCGACAGAGAAATCATTAGAAGCGAAGAGTCAATCCGTGCGGCAAACTTCACTGCGTTAGCAACTGTCCCAGCCCGGAGCCGCCTGCGCCCGGATCAGTCGGCAGCCCTCACCCTGGAGGCAGAAACACAGCCCCGTGGGAGGCTCAGAGGACGGCCAGCAGTTTTTAGCAATGAAGTGTTTCCATTGAGATGTACGTTTCTTAGACACAACGCTACTGCACACTTCACAGACTACAGTGGAGTGTAAACATGGCTCTATAGGGGCTGGGAAACCAAAAAGTTCGTGCGCCTTGCTTCATCGGACCCGCGGCGGCTCCAGGCTCCGCCTGAATTCTAGACGGAAGAGGTCGGGCCACCTCCTACCAGGACACGCGCTCTCCCCACGGAGCCCGCAAAGCCGGGGAGGCCGTACCTGTCCGGCTGCGCCCCACCTGTGGTCCGAGCGCAGGACCCAGCGGCGTCCTCCGACCCGCCCGGCAGCTCTGCTCCGGGGCAGAGAGGACGCCCCGATGCCCGCACCCAGGTCCCCTGCCGCCCCCCATCTCAGCCAGTGGGCATCTCAGGTGACCCTGCCGTCCCTAGGCTCCAGCGGGCGCCCACTCAGCCTCCCCCGGACTCGCTCGCACCCGCTCTCCGCGAGCCGCGCGCGCCCCCCTCCGGAGCGATCTCCGGCCGGGCTCGGCCTCACCGCTCCCCCTCGCCCGAGAAGCCGCTGTTCCACCAAGAACTTCCCCGACTGACAGCCGGCGCCGCCGCCGCTGCCGCCAGCTCAGCCGTTCCGCCGACTCAGCCGTTCCGCCGCTTCCCCTCCGCTCCCTCCCGACAGGCGGGCTGCAAGATGAGGGAAGATGCTCTACCTGAGCAGGCCAGGCCCTCCGCCTCCAGAGCTCAGGGGGCAAGGTGGGAACCTTCCCCAAGCCTCGGAACTCGGGGCAGCCCGGTTTCCTGTACCCCCGGCAGGAAGGGGCCACAGCCTGACCGCGGGGGCCGGCGGGGAATGGAGTTCCGAGAGCACTGGGCCGCAGCTGCGGACTACAACTCCCAGAGGCCCGTGCGACAGCCACGCGCCCCTAGCCGCGGAGCCCCGCCCTGGTCTTGCCCGTCACGGGGTGAGCGGGAGCGCGCGGCTCTGGTCTGGCCTCTGCCTCGGGACTTCCCGCCGGGGGCGCACGCCTGCCGGCGGCTCCAAGGCGCCCAGAAGGAGGGAGGCGTCGCCTGCAGTCCTCACAGCCCGGAGGCCTCGTGGGAAAGGGCTGCTGCGGCATCTCCATCGAGGGGACCTCCCGTGCTCTGCCCCTCGGGCTTTGCTGGTGGTGGTCCCCGCGCTGGGCAGGGCGTGAGCCACGGACGCCCAGGGAAGCTGGCTGCAAGAGAACTGTCGGGTTGGCACTCCTCCTCCCAGGTCTAGACGCTGAGCTTTCTTTCCCCCACTTTTAAGTGTGTGGACACATTCATCTCGGCTAAAGAGGGGCTTTGGGAGGCTTTGAGCGCCCTCCTGCCATCCCTACCGTTTCTCCAAAGCCGCCCACGTAAACGTGCGCCCCATAAATCAGTGTTTGCCGGGAAAGGCAGCTCCAGGCGCGTCCTTGAAGAGCGCATGGCAGCACCTGCACTGTCACGTGATCAGTTGAATGAACGAGTCCCCGTGTCATAAACAGCTAATGGCAGCTGGACTCCAGAAACGGCTATTGTCCCGATAAGGAACCGGCCCTAGAGACTGGATGACTTGCCCGAGGCCAGAAACTATGAGGTGGCAGATAAGCTGGAATTCAAGCCGAGGCGGCGTTCCAAAGCGTGTGCTCGAATTACAGCTGGCGGGGCCTCCACCATGGAAGGCGTGGCAACTGCATGGGAGTGACATGGTGGAGATTGACCCTCTTTTTTTTTTTTTTTAATACATTTTATTGATTTTTTACAGAGAGGAAGGGAGAGAGATAGAGAGTTAGAAACATCGATGAGAGAGAAACATTGATCAGCTGCCTCCTGCACATCTCCCACTGGGGACGTGCCCGCAACCAAGGTACATGCCCTTGACCGGAATCGAACCTGGGACCTTTCAGTCCGCAGGCCGACGCTCTATCCACTGAGCCAAACCGGTTTCGGAGAGATTGACCCTCTTGACTTGCAACGGACTGAGATGCGATGTTTTGACTTCACGATGGTGTGGGAGTGGTGCGCATTCAGTAGAAACTGTACTTTGAATTGCGATCTTTTCCAGGCTAGCGATACCCTCTCGCGCTGCAGGTCCCAGGAGCAGTGTGATCAGTGGGGGTACTCTACAGCGAATTCATCCCGGTAGGTGGCTTTGCCCACTGCAGGTTACTGTCAGCGGCCTGAGCACATACACTGAAGGGGGCCAGGCTGAACTGCGATGTTCGGCAGGTTAGGTGTGTTAAATGCATTTTTTATGAACAGGACATTTCAACTTAGACCAGTGATGGCGAACCTTTTGAGCTCGGCGTGTCAGCATTTTGAAAAACCCTAACTTACCTCTGGTGCCGTGTCACATATAGAAATTTTTTGATATTTGCAACCATAGTAAAACAAAGACTTATATTTTTTATATCTATTTATATATTTAAATGCCATTTAACAAAAAAATGAGTTCACGTGTCATAGGTTCGCCATCACTGATTAAACCACGGGTTTACTGGGGCAGAACCCCACTGTAAGTTGAGGAGCACCTGTAATTACTTGAAGACAGATGAAAGTTATTTTGCTGATGCTATCTATCCTTGCTCAAAAACTTTTGCAACAGCTCTTTGACCTGCCTTCAGATCAGCAGTACATTTTTAGGATGGCTTCAGCGATAGCAAAATTTTCCTCTTTCTCTGCATTCCATGCTGAGAAAATAATTTTAGGCAAGGCTGAGACGCACCAAGTAAGTGGTATGGAATGACATCAGCGCAAATGGCTGACCTGGCTCTGCAAGCAGGAAGTGAAGGCCAAGGCAAGTTGCACACTGTTTGACTAAGCATTGAAGGAGCACCCCAGTACATGGCTAATTGGCAAAGACTGGGAGAATTTGCTTGCATTTTGGCTTAAAAAAAAAAATTTAATGTTTTGCTTCCAGGCATTTAATAAAGACATCCCTGTTAAATCACCAGCTGACCACTAAGCTACTGGGACAGACTTCAGTGCCAAACAACAAAGAATGCAGACTTTATAGAATGAGTAGACTGGTAGTTAACTTTAAAACCTGGATCATACTCAAACTTGGTGTGTGTGTTTTTAAATATATTTTTATTGGAGAACCAAGATGGCGGCATAGGTTAACGCTGGAGTTTGCTGCTTTGAACAACTACTTCAAAAGTGAAACCAAAAAACGGAAGGGACATCACCCAGAACCACAGGAACGCTGCCTGAGTGGAAGTCCTACAACTAGGAGGAAAGAGAAACGCATACGGACACTCAGAGGAGGCGCAGTGCTGAAGTCAAATTCTGAGGTGCGGAGTGCGCGGAGCGGGCTGGCGGCGGAGGGCGCGGTTGGCGTTTTCAATCGGGAGGGAGTCGCAGACTCTGAGCTCCAGATCCGGGCGAGTCTTTAGGGATCCAGACTCAAACGGGAGAAGCGGGACTGTCTGGCTTCGGTCAGAGCGAGTGCAGCTTTCTCTCTGAGCTTTGCAGCCGGTGCTGGGACTCAGAGAGGCAGAGCCCCTGGGGACAGGACTGAGAGCCGCCATAACTGCTCTCTCCGGCCCACCCTGTTGATCCTGTGCGACCCGCCCCGCCCAAGCCCTGCACACAGGCATTTGCCGGATAGCCTCAGGCAAAGGCTAGATTAGCACCTCCCTAGAGGACAGAAGTTCTCTCACTGCTGACACAACTGATTCTCATAGCCACTTGGCCTGGAGGTCAAACCCTCCCTGGAATTAGCTACAACAATCAAGATTTAACTATAAGACTGTGAACAAAGACCACTAGGGGGTGCACCAAGGAAGCATAACAAAATGCGGAGACAAAGAAACAGGACAAAATTGTCAATGGAAGATATAGAGTTCAGAACCACACTTTTAAGGTCTCTCAAGAACTGTTTAGAAGCCGTCGATAAACTTAATGAGATCTACAAGAAAACTAATAAGACCCTCGATCTTATATTGGGGAACCAACTAGAAATTAAGCATACACGGACTGAAATAACGAATATTATACAGACTCCCGACAGCAGACCAGAGGAGCGCAAGAATCAAGTCAATGATTTGAAATGCGAGGAAGCAAAAAACACCCAACCGGAAAAGCAAAATGAAAAAAGAATCCAAAAATGCGAGGATAGTGTAAGGAGCCTCTGGGACAGCTTCAAGCGTACCAACATCAGAATTATAGGGGTGCCAGAAGATGAGAGAGAGCAAGATATTGAAAACCTATTTGAAGAAATAATGACAGAAAACTTCCCCCACCTGGTGAAAGAAATGGACTTACAGGTCCAAGAAGCGCGGAGAACCCCAAACAAAAGGAATCCAAAGAGGACCACACCAAGACACATCATAATTAAAATGCCAAGAGCAAAAGATAAAGAGAGAATCTTAAAAACAGCAAGAGAAAGAAACTCAGTTACCTACAAGGGAATACCCATACGACTGTCAGCTGATTTCTCAACAGAAACTTTGCAGGCCAGAAGGGAGTGGCAAGAAATATTCAAAGTGATGAATACCAAGAACCTACAACCAAGATTACTTTATCCAGCAAAGCTATCATTCAGAATTGAAGGTCAGATAAAGAGCTTCACAGATAAGGAAAAGCTAAAGGAGTTCATCACCACCAAACCAGGATTATATGAAATGCTGAAAGGTATCCTTTAAGAAGGGGAAGAGGAAGAAAAAGGTAAAGATACAAATTATGAACAACAAAAATGCATCTATCAACAAGTGAATCTAAGAATCAAGTGAATAAATAATCTGATGAACAGAATGAACTGTTGATTATAATAGAATCAGGGACATAGAAAGGGAATGGACTGACTATTCCTGGGGGGGAAAGGGGTGTGGGAGATGCGGGAAGAGACTGGACAAAAATCGTGCACCTATGGATGAGGACAGTGGGTGGGGAGTGAGGACGGAGGGTGGGGCGGGAACTGGGAGGAGGGGAGTTATGGGGGGAAAAAAAAGAGGAACAAATGTAATAATCTGAACAATAAAGATTTAATTAAAAAAAAAATATATATTTTTATTGATTTCAGAGAGGAAGGGAGAGGGAGAGAGAGATAGAAACATTAATGATGAGAGAGAATCATTGATTGGCTGCCTCCTGAACGCCCCACACTGGGGATCAAGCCCACAACCCCAGGCATGTGCCCTGATCGGGAATCGATTTGTGATCCTGGTTCACAGGTCTACACTCAACCACTGAACCACGCCGGCCGGGCACACCTGGTGTTTTAAATCAAGCCTCCACAGGTGGTGTCTTGTACCTCCCACCACACCAGGAAGCACAGGTCTTTCACTGGTGATACTGACTGTTCCCAAGTTCCTCTCTCCAGCTTTTCACCAGACCTTGATGATCACCTGCCAGATCAGGCTCATGCCACCCTCTGGGTCTGAGTAACTTTCCCTCAGTGTCCTTCGTTTCTGTCTACTTAGGAAGTAGTTAAGTCCAAACAAGTTAGGATGTGCTTTGGTCCTAACAACTTAGTAGCCTTTTAAAAACATGTAAATTCAAAGAAAAATACTTTATTTCGTTCTTAACCACAATTGCTTACTAATGGGATGCATATGCACATGGGCCCTGCACAACTTCCTCAAATCAGATGGGACACCACTACCCCCATTTCCTGGCCCACGGTGGATTTTGCACACTGGCTTGGGGTCACAGCAACTGCTGAGCACTCAGCTTTGCAGAGTATGATGTTCTCCAAACGCACGGACGTGATCTAATGTTAAAAGTGGGAGTTACCTCAGGCTGGGAGTTCACATGGTGTCTGGCAGAGGTTGCTGTGTTTTTCTCAAAAATTTCAAATGTTCTGGTGTCCCTGCGAGTCTCCATGGTGCGTTCACAG